AGCAGGGGAGTCAGAAGAGGCCGACACAGAACAGAAACAGAGACAGGTATGACCCTTGGGGGGGGGGCATCATATATAGATGTCTAAATTATATGTACCAGCGTGTGTCTAGAGAAAAAGAGAGAGAGAGAAAGAGAGGGAGAGAGAGAGAGAGAGAGAACGAGAGAGAGGGGGGGGGATGGCACGACGGCAACAATAACATGATTGAAGCGACGGGCCCAACCAGTTGTGAATACCGCCCGCTGTTGTGAATTCGTACCGTCCTCAGCGAAATACCTATGCGGACACGAAGCGTGTGAGGGATGCGCTGACATGGGCTGGGCGCCGCATGCGAACCTTGTCACTGGGACTTCCTGCCGAGGGACGTAACGTGTGCGGGGTGTGCCGAAAGTGAGGGTGGAACCGAATGCGAACCCTGCCACTGGGGCATTCGGTGGGGCTCCGAATGGGGGCACGAAGCGTGTGAGGGGTGCGCTGAGATGGTGGAGGGAACCGCACGTGAACGAAGCCATTGGGACGTTCAGTGGGGTGCCTTCTGGGGGAGCAAAGCGTGTGAGGGGTGCGCCGACATGGAATGTGGAACTGCGCGCGGACCCTGCTACTGGGGCATTCGTTGGAGCACCCTATGGGGCCACAAACCGTGTGCGCGTGTGTGTGTGTGTGTGTGTGCGTATGTGTGTGTGTGTGTGTGTGTGTGTTTGTGTTTTTTTTTTGTGTGTGTGTGTGTGTCGGGGGGGGGCGCACCAGCATGAAAGGTGGAAACGCGGGCGAACGCAGCCAATGGGATTGTCGGTGTAGCCTGTTTGGGGTGACGAAACGTCTGGGATAGGGGGCGCAATTTCATGCGAACGCAGCCATCATGGCCTTCTGTAGAGCTTTCTATGGAGCCACCAAGCGTGTGAGGGGTGTGCCGAGATGGGCGGGTGGAATTGCACGCGAACGCAGCCAATGGGGCTTTCGGTGGAGTTCCTTCTGGGGGCACGAAGCGTGTGAGGGGTGCGCCGACATTGGTATGCGGGGAGCAGAGGGAGGGATGGGAGGAGGGAGGAGGGGGCAGCGGGAGGGAGACGCGGGGCGCTCTCTTTTCAAAACCAGGACCCGACACCACTGGATGGTTGTGAACAACTCCTCACCAAGACATCCGCATAAGAGAAGTCATTGATGAGGAGTCTTTACGAAAAGAGCCCTTGAAGCAGGTGTTTCCTGAGGGAATGTGTCTGAAGGTGTCTTCCTATGGCATGTGTATTACTATTACTGCTACCTAGAAGCTTCTTTTGTCAGCGGAGAGGTTGCGCCCTTTGCTGCGACAGGCGGAAGACGATGCAACCTCTAATTGTACGTCTTGTTCCAATTCTCTGGCGCCGAACCGTCTTCGATGCTGCAGGTGGTCCGGCGTCGAAGAATTGGGAACATCAGGACAAAGATGTTACTATGTGTTTGCTGACTGGAACTCTCGGAGAGCAACGTTGGGCACTACATTTATATATGCACAATCTTCAGCGAAGACTCTGCGCCCTCCGCTGCGGCAGGTGGACATGTTCTAGAACCATGGTTTCCCGTTGTCACAATTCTCTGGCGTCGGACCGCATTCGATGTTGCAGGCCGTTCGACGCCAGAGAGTTGAACAGATGGGGGACATGTATTTCACGATGCTCTTCGTCAGCGGAGCTCTCGGATAGCAGCGTTGAGCACCACAAAGCTCCCTGCACAATATGCATCGGGTGATGCTGCGCCCTTCGTTGCGGCAGGCGGGAAGCATTGCAAAGTGCAAGTTCCCCCATGTGTTCAATTTGTTGGCGCCGACCGTCTTCGATGCTGCAGGCGATTCGGAGACAGATAGCTGGAACTTTCGGAACAACGGTTCTGCGATGTTCTTCGCCATTGGAGCTCCAAGATTGCAACGTTGAGTATCACACAGCTATCTGAACCATGTGTGCGTGTGAAGTAAACGGTCTCCAACAGCCGCCCACGCAAAGCTGGAAAACGCTATGATTGCCCAGGCCTGCGTCCACCCAGAAGGAGAGATGAGGAAAGGGGGAGGGTTCGTGTGTGGCGCCCGTCTGTAAATGTACATGTCTATATTTACGTCTTTAAGCCTCTTCTATGGATTCGCGTATTTGGGAAGAGAGGGAGAGAGAGAGAGAGAGAGAGAGAGCGAGGGCGAGAGCGAGGGTGAGAGAGGGATGAGGGAAAACAGGACAGGATGAGGGATAGACAGAGAGACGGGTAGAAGGAGGATTAGAGCGAGATGGATTGGGACAGAAGAGTGACTGGTGAAGGAGGTTCGCGCCCGAGCGCTCATTAGGGCGAGAATTGAGCCCAGAAAGATGTTGAATTTGTGCGGCGCATGGGGTCGGGCAGCTTACGTCGGGGAGCGAGTACGAATAGCGGCTGAGCGGCGACGGGGCCCCGACGTTCGTGCGCTCGAGAGCTTATTTTCCAACGCTCTTGTGGGAGTTTCCCTGAGTTAGATGTGGCGGCGCACTCAGGCGGCGTGCGCATGGCGTGGCTGTGGTCTGGACCTGGCAGGGGGACCACAACAATCGATGGCCACCAGGTTGGCACACTCCAGCGTGCTATCTGTCCCTTGTTCGTCCGCGCCTAGTGTGCCTCGTGCGTGCTCACACTCTTTACGCGTGTGCATCTGTATGTATGTATGTGACCATGTGTGTATAAGTTATGCGAGTCAACCGGTGTTCTCACGCTCTCCATGTCTCTCTCTCTCTCTCTCGCTCTCTCTCCCTCTCTTTCTTATGTGTTTACAGATAGCCATGTGGCACAGACCTTCGTGCCTCTGAATCGCCCCCTCCAGATACGTCGCCCCCTCAGCACACAGGTTGATCTCTCTCTACCTCGTGCTGTGACCCTCCATCCGGCAACACATATAGACATACACATGCATACGGCACCAATTGTGTATATATATATATATATATATATTCATATGTTGGTGTCAGCTTATACGCCAGCACATGTTTTTGTACGATGAATATTTTTCATATCCACCTGCATACATGTGTCACCATGTGTACACATGTACTCATCTACGTTTTTCCCAAACAGCGATTGCACATGGGGTCGGCAATTGTTTGCCTGAGGGAGCTGGGCCTGCGGGTCGGTCTGGCAGCTATGTTGTCGCTGTCGCCGTCCCGTCGCCGCTTCGTCGCCGCCCGTCGTCTGGCCCTGCGGGTCGGCCTGGTGGCTATGTTGACGCCGTCGACGCCCCGTCGCCGCCCCGCCGCCGCCCATCGTTTGGGCCTGCGGGTCGGTCTTACGGCTATGTTGTCACCGTCGCCGCCCCGTCGCCGATTGTCGTCTGGACTTGCGGGTCGGTCGTGTGGCTATGTTGTCGCCGTCGCGGCCCCGTCACAGCCCCGTCGCCGCCTCGTTGCCGCTCGTCGTGCGGGCCTGCATTGGTTCGCATCGTTTCGAATAGATCTGTTGTGCTTTACATTTCATTATTTTGTGCCGCATTTCTCTGCATTGTTGTTGCAGTGCTTCGCGCTGCTTTGCATTGGTGTGCTGCGCCATTGATTTGCATTGTGTTGCAGTGCTTTGCGTTGCGTTGCATTGCTTGGTAGTGTTTGGCATTGCTTGGCCGTACTTTGCACAGCGTTGCATTACTTTGCGCCACATGAATCGCACCGCATACATTGCACCACGCAGATTGCACAGCCTAGATTGCAGAACATATGCTGCACCGCAGAGATTACTTCGAATAGAGTGCACATCATACATGTGTAAAACGTAGATAAAACCACATCGATTGCTCCAGATAGAGTGCACACCATATATTGTGCACCACTTGTGCTGTCGAAAAGAACTCACCTGCCGAAGGACCCAACCGCATGCAGTTGTGAGCACAGCGTTGTGGCACCGCGTTCGTTGGACCCCCCTTATTGGGCCACAAAACGTATGAGGGGTGTTCCGAAATGGGCGGGACACCGCATGCGAATGCCACGAAACTCGTGAGGAGTGTTCAGAAATGGGCGGGGATGCGCATGCGAACCCTGCCATTGGGGCCTTTGGTGGACCTCCCTATGGGGCAGTGAAACGTGCGAGGGGTGCGCCTCAATGGGCGGGAAACCGCATGCGAACCCTGCCACTGAGTCCTTCGGTGGGGCTCCATATGGGGGTGAGGCCCCTGGGGGAACGTTCGCATGCGACTCCCGAACCCAATTTGGCACACCCCTCACTCGCTTCGGGGCCCCATGGAGAGTTCCACCGCGACTCCACATGATACGTTCGCTTGCGGTTCCCCCATCCAGTACAGCGCTCCGTGGCCCCAAAGGGAGCTCCGCCGAAGGCCCCAGAGAGACGTTCGCTTGCGTTCCCCCCACCCAACACATCGCTTCGTGACCCCATAGGGAGCTCCACCGAAGGCCCCACTGGCCGCGGCCGCATGCGTCTCCCTCACCTAGTACAGCGCTTCGTGGCCCCAAGGGGGCTCCACCGAACGCTCCAGTGGCCGCGGCCGCATGCGTTTCCCCCACCCATTGCGACACAGCCCATCACGCGTTACGTGGCCACTTAAAGAGCCCCCCCGAAAGCACGACCCACAACGCGGTATTCACAACTGCGTATGGTTGGGCACTCCGCTTGGATAGTCTTACATGGATGGCTGGCCTGCGCACAGAAGCCAACATGAGACCCCCCTCACCGTCCCTGTCAAAAACCAATTCAAAGTGGCTGCGGAGCGCCCGCGCATGCTCCAGGTTCGGAGGCAACGTGCATTTTGCATTGTAATAAGACATGGCTTTTCAACCCACGCAGCAAGCAATATGAGGGCACCCTCGCCGTCCCTGTCCAGTACCATGCAAAGTGGTCACGGGCCGCCCGCGCATGCTGCAGATTTGTTGGAGGCAAGGTGTATTTGGTTGTATTCCTTTGACAGGGATGGTAGGGGCGTGTTGCCATGGGGACGGGCCTATGTATTGGGCACAGTGAGCCCCTCGGTCGCAACAGTCCTTGCGCCGTACACTCGGAAACCATTTTATTGCCCTTCCCCGCTGGCCTGCGGCCCGCAGCCCCTGACCCAGACCGAGGAGAAACGAAACCTGCGACAGCGGCTCCCGGGCGCCTTCGCGCTTCCAGGGCGGAGGGGCGCGTGCAAGGCCACGGCGCAATGCTGACAGCAGGAGGAGGAGGAGGAGGAGGAGGACCAGTGCAAGTGCAAAACCCATTCGTGATCTTGCGATTAACCCTTCCTCCTAGCTCCCTCCCCACAGGCCCTTACAATGATTTATTTCCACTGATGGAAATGCCCATCTGGACGACAGCCATTTGAAGATCCTCAACTGTGCGAGGGCGCCAGTCCTGAACTTTCAACGCCACGAGTCAACGTGCCTGTTGCGTCTTGACGATCCATAACCGGGGCAGAACAACATCCCTTTAACTTCAACGCCTCGAATCAATGAAATTGTTGCGCCCTGACAATCTTACATTGCTCGAAAGTGCAGTTTTTCTGACCTAAACCATGAGAACCCCTGAAACGGTTGTAAGCACTTGGGCGCACTGCGCCCAAGCGAAAGCCAGATTTGGAAAAAGGTGCCGCCCTCCATCCGTGAAGTTCGTGCCACGTTTTAAGCAAATGCGTGCGGTGTTAAGGCGAGAGCTTCATTTTGCAACCGGGCCGCCATCCATCCGCGGAACTGTTGCGACGCTTGAAAGCGGTTGTGCGCGGCGCCAAGACGAGCGCCGCATTTTGAAAACGACCCGACCTCAATCCGTGAAGCCCTTGCAAGGCTTCAGACGACTGCATGCGGCGCTAAGGCGAGAGCCTCACTTTAAAAGCGACCCGCCATCCATCCTTGCAATTGTTGCAAATTTCAATGTTCTGGATCACTGATGATGGGAAGTCTCAGGCAAAACGCCCAGCCCGACCTACCGACACGCCTCGGGGTGCGGCAGGAAAGCGTTGCTTATAAGGAGTAGCAGGAATGGAGAGACGATAGGAGGCGTGTGCCCCCAGCCCCCATCAGTGCTGCCGAGAGAAGGCCTGGTTTGGCCGATGGGCCACGCTAGCTGCCAGAAGCCGCCGGGCGAATGCGCCGCGAGCTGGCTTTCGTCGGAGACGAGGAGGAGGAGGAGGAGGAGAAGGAGGAAGAGGAGGAGGAGGAGGAGGAGTACGAGAACGAGAACAAGGAGGAGGACCAGGAGCAAAAGGAGGAGGAGGAGAAGGAGGAGGAGGAGCAGGACAACGAAGAGGAAATGACAACTCAGCGAACAGGCGCGGGCCAGGAAGAGGGAGGGGAGCGGCATGGGCAGCGCAAAGCACGCAGGCACAAGGGGGCGGACGGGGGGCGGGCGCGGGCTGTCGTCGGCAATTCATGATCGGCGGTCGCTGGACGTCCGTCGGTCAGGGCCCGGGAGGGAGCGGGGTAGTGGGCGGGGCGGCCACGAGGGCGGGGTCCTCCCCTGTGGCGTCTGCCTTGCGCTCCGCCAAGGCGGCTAGCGCGTGGCCCGCCTCCTTGCCCCAGGTGCCGCCGTGCGCCTCCATCACCGTGGGGACGTGACGCCGGCCACGCTGGAGCTGCGCACCGTGCCGAGGTGCTAACGTTTGTGCTCCTCGTGGCGCTCGGCGGCAGCGCCGGGCGCGGCGGCCGAAGCTGCCAGGAGGCCGCCCCGCAGCCCAGCAAAGTCCAGGGCGGTCGGCACGCCGTTGCGCCAGCGGGGGATGCACACATCCGCTGCGCGCCGGCCGCTCTCGTCGAGCTCGCCGCCGTCGGCCTCCGTTCCGGGCGGGCCTTCCCTTCGCTCGCGGGGCTACAGCAGGCCAAACCGCTCGAGCTCGGCTCCCGTGGAGCCCGAGGCCTGCGCGGAGAAGAACGCCTGGTCGCGCAGGGCGTTGTTCCCGGTCCCGCGGCCCCCGCGGCAGGGGCACGCCAGCGCGTGGTCCCCATAGATGTCGAGGATACCGTCTCCGGCTGGGCAGGAACCGCCCCCGAAGGGGGAGGAGCGGGTCGTAAGAGGAAGCTCCCTAAACCAGTCTCGCCCTTCAGTGCTGGTGGGATTAGATGACGCGCGATCGGCTCACAACGCCGGCTCCTAGGGCCCGACGGCGCCCGCCATCATATTGTGAGGGTTGCTTTGGGCGCACAGCCTCGCGAAGGGGTCGCATCTCATGCGCCACCGCAGGATTCCTGTATTTGTCGCGTGTTTTCGAGCCGAGCTGGGAAACGCTGCCTCTACCACTCTTCCCCCCCAGCCGCCGAAAGGCTCGGGCGCACAGCGCTAGAGTTTGCCAACAACAGTCCATGAGAAACGCTACAGGTTTCGTTTGTTCGGGAGGGGGTGCTGGCAGTGTAGCGGTTGCCCTAGACTCGTGCGGTTAGCTTCCCGTCACGGCCTGGTCACGAGAAGGTTGTGGCCAGGTTGGGGAGGCGCCATCGCTAGAGCCAGGGCTCATGTCAAATGTAAAATGTTCGTGCGCGGAGAACCCTGACAATATCGAGCGCATGCGATCGCGTCTAAGAGAGCTGCGTCGGGTTCGGGTCCAGCTGGATTCGATTTCCCGCCCGTCTTGCGTGACCATCTCGTATTGAACGAACGGGATTCGCCGGGTGTTGAGTGTGCGGAGCTTTCCGGCGCTCTCGAACCGAGAGGTTTTTTCGTGAGTGCGAGGACCTCTTTCGTCCGCCGGAGGTACCTGCCCACAAGAGACTGGGTTCCCATCGAAGCCTCATTGGAAGCGGTACAACTTTTTTAATGCGGGTCTCCCCGTTCGGGGAGATTCAACGTTTCGCATCATGGCTGGTGCGTGGTTCGGATGCCCGCTTGCATAGCATAGCACTTCCGTCCGAAAAAAAAGTCGGGTAAATGAGCGAGAGTGGTGGGATGAGGCAGAGAAGCAGGGGGGAGGAGGCCAGAGGAGGGGCAGGGCGCGGCTTCAGAAATAGTGGGGAGAGCAGCGGCAGCAGCAGCAGCAGCAGCAGCAGCAGCAGGGAGAGGAGGACGACTTGCAGCAGGACGAGGAAAGGGGAGTACCACGCAACAAGGTTACGCAGGGGCAGCTCCTCGCGGACGGTGGGTTCGCCTACGTGTACCGCGGCTCGGACTTGCGCACTGGCGAGCCTGTCGCAATCAGGAGGGGGGTTCGGGCGGCTAGCCCGCCCCACGTGCCATGCAGATGGCCCAGGCCAAGGCCGATCGCAATGTGTCTCTGCAAGGGGCACTCGAGCTCCCGAGCGCCCCCGCGCAAGCTCGCAAGCTCGCTGACAGGTTTCCTCCACCGACATGTTGCATGGCCGAGATGCAAGCAGTGGTGAGTGGTGTCTTATATTGGTTTGCTCGAAGGCCACCCTGTGTACCAAGCTAAGCCCAGGGAGGCTCGCAGGCAGTCTTGCCACGTCTTGGGTCGACAGCTGAGGGGGGGTGCATGGTGGCAGTAGTGGGGAGAAGGTGCACTTTGGCCTGCGACCTGGGAGGCATTGTTTCGGGGGTAACCCGGATTTGTTTCTCGCGAAATAAACTGACTGAAATGAACTGAGCTGACATGACCTGTATTGAACTGAACAGGCTAGTCGCACCCGTCACGCGACGGTTTTATTCTCGGCCGCCAAGTGCGCAACCTATGGCGCAACCGATCGGTGACGGTTTTATTCTCGGGCGCCGAGGGCGCACCCTATGGCCCGACCGATATGAGACGGTTTTATTCTCGGGCGCCGAGGGCGCAACTTTATGGCGCAACGGATAGGAGACGGTTTCATTTTCGGGCGCCGAGGGCGTAACCCATGGCGCAAACGATCGGAAACGGCTTTATTAAGTGGCGCCGAGGGCGCAACTAATTGTGCAATTTCAGGCGCAACCTATGGGCATTCGAATGCGTGCGGCTACGCCCGATGTATGTTGCAGTTTGGGCTGGCGGTGGGGCCCAAGCGGCGGGTTGCCTTGTGATGTGGCTTTGATCGAACGTGTAGATGGTGTGTGTGTGTGTGTTGTTTTGCGTGCGTGTGCAGTGTTCACTGGATCGACTCACTCCACTTTCACTCATGCAAGCCGCTTTGCGGAGCTGTGAGGAGTCCGGCTGCTTCCGCAACTCTTGCAGGGAAAACCACGCGGATGAAACCGTGTCCGAGCGATTGCAAGGTGTCAGCGTTGGTTGGGGAGCATTGTGACCTTCCAGGACTGAAGGCGCAATGTGCCACCGCGCAACCCGTGTCGGCATGGGTTTCGGGCCGACAGAGCGCGTCGCAAATCGCAAGTCGAGGCACTGAGGACTAGTCAGCGCAAGAGCCGCCTTCTCCACAAATGGTGCCAGCCCCGCGCGCGGCCCGTTTGTTTTTCTTCTACAAGCGTACAAGCGATTGGAGGCGCGGCGACCGCGTGCATGAAGCGACGGGTTTCAACCTTGTTCCATGGCTCTTCATCTTCTTCCACTCTCCCGCAAGGGTTGTAAGATATGTTTCACCGTTGGTGCGGTCGGTGTTTAGCGAGTGAGCACTGAGAAGAGGCAGAGAGAGAGAGAGAGAAAGAGAGAGAGAGAGAGATTGAGAGAGAGAGGGAGAAACAGAGAGAGAGAGAGAGAAAGAAAAAGAGAGAGAGAGAGAAGGAGAGAGAGGGAGAGGGAGAGGGGCAGAAAGAGAGTGAGAGAGAGGTAGACAGGGATATGTAGCGAAATAAAGGAACAATACTTGCGGGACGGAAGCGATGAGGGCGAGGGGGAGTGAGAAGGAGTGAGGAAGAAGTAGCGAGAACGAGTGCAAAGTAGGGGCATGAGCACACAGATCAAGAATGAGAGAGAGAGAGAAAGAGGGAGAGAGAAACCAAAATGGCAAAGAGAGAGAGAGAGAAAGAGAGCGATAGCGAGAGGGCGACAGAAGCAGAGAGACAGAGAGAGAGAGAGAGAGAGAATGGGCACAGGCAGGTACATGTACATCTCGTCGACCAATGACGGATTGACAAGTCGATAATGAACCTTTTCATTAGCTGTATATATGTACATATGCAGCGATTGAACTCCTCCATGCGAGGAGAGTGCTGTTACAGGATGCACAGTCTTTGGAACGCGCCCGCACGGACCTATGGGGTGGGATGGGTTTGGCAATCGCGTGATGCAGCAATCACCAGAAGAAAGCCTCCATCATCATGTTTGGTCCCAGCCCGCTCTTTCAGAAGCGCTCCCAATGTTAATGTTCAGTCGCACAAGCCCGCCCTCTAAAATGTACGAATTCTCTTGGGTCTTCGTTGTTCGAAATTATCTTTGATGCCCTTTAAGCTACAAGCGGAGAGTGAGCCAATGTTCTTACCATCCTTATCATACAATCACATCAGCATGTGTTGTGGGACATGGGCCGGATGGTTGACCATGTCGGATGAAGCAGCTCGATTGTGCCCACCTGCCTGCAGTGTCGACCAATTGTTTAGAACTGTTCAGGCCAGGTAACATCGTGTCAGACTTGTTCAGAAATTGATCCCCACCGACGAGGTCGCGGTTTCTTCGGAGGCATTGTCCTTGTCCGCGCGCCGCCATGGATCAGCTAAAATGGGGCTTGGGCTGGTACCCAGAACTGCGATGGGACAGGATGTATCCATTTGCCTTTCCTCATGGGGAAGGGTTTGAGGCTGGCCCAGGGCCCATTCTGGGTTATGCTTTGAGCTTTCAGCGGGGGTGAAGATGTTTCATGTTGCAGCTGGAACCTGCGAAGCAGACGTCGTTGCCTTGGCCATCGCTTCGAAGCCAGGAGCGACCTGAGAAAATTGTTGTCATACACAGAAAACAGTAATCGGTGCCATGTGTCTGCATTCCCTGTTTCTCTCCCATGTGTCATCCTGCGCTCTTGTCATGCCTGCCCGTGCAGTCGAGAGAGCGTGTGTGAAACAGCGCAAGCACCTCAACACATCCTGCGAGCGACGCAATTGTAGTAGTTCGCAACGGATCCCCCACCTTCGTGGAGCAAGCTCAGAGCGCTCACGCGTGCCTGTTTGAGGTGCTGCGTCTCAACTTCCTCGGTCACCGGGGAAACTCAGCGGCGTGATGTCATACCCAAATCAGAGTTACACCTCGCCCTCCCTGGGGACCACGCACTGTGGAACAGTCGCCAGCTTCGTGTGTTTCTGGGCTTCCCAGCGGAGTGACGTCATAGCCAGGTTAGATTTCGATCTTGCTGTCCTTGTGGCTTCCACCAACGCCATGTATTTGCTGGACGGCATCCCGAGTTTGCCCTCCAGACATTCAGATGTCTCGCACATGTGCTACGCTGCTGTTTTCGCTGACCCGCATATTCCAGCATTTTTCTGCAGGAGGGGGAACAATCCGAGTTGGAGGATGAGGCGGATCGCTTTCCATATGAGTCGAAGCTTTTTCTTGTTTTTGTTCCAGCCGTTGTTCTTCGGTTTCGCAGAAATGCCATATTGGTTTCCGTCCTGACGCGCGGAACCCCATGCTGTTTCAAGCGCCCGATCTTTCCTGTTCGACGTGACGGTGTTGGCGGCAGTCAGCAATCGGAAGGCAATGTCGCCCGTCGTGTACTAACCATAAATGTGTTTTGCAACACGTCTTTGCGCTTTGGGCTCAAGGCCACGGGCCGCGTCAAGTATTCCGAGTTCGGAGAACTCCCGATCCCCGTGCACAATCTGGAAACAACCACGGTCCTGACATGGTCGCGGAGGCTTGGAATCGCATCCAGATTTAGCCTGACGACGTGCGGCTCGGTGAGAACCGTTTCCGGGACGCATGATCGTCTGTTTCGGGGACACACAGGTCCGGTGGATGACGATGTGCGCGAGAGGGGGCGCCAGTCGGGTCGGTCGGGCACTCTATTTCGTCTAGGCCGCCGACCCGTCCACACCCGCGCTGCCCGTGCACGCGGCCGCGAACTAGGTGAACCAGATCAGGGCGAGATGTAGCCTTCGCGCGGGCAGTCAGGCTCGTCTGTTGGAGCATACGAACCTAGGGCGAGGTTTCGTCAAGGACGCCAAGGACAAGGTCGTGCACGCTGCAACCCCCTGGATGAGGCGTATATGGATGGAGATGGCCCAAGCGGAGTTCGAGGGGCGCCTAACATTATCGGCGCACGGACCTGCCTGGACAAGTACAAAGCCGCCCCTTTCGTCGAAAAGGTCGCGGAGCGCGGTGGCAACATCGACGCCTGGGACGAGGCGCGCTTGGATTTCATCGAGCCGTGGATTTCCAAACCGGCTAGCTTCCGCAGGCGCAATGTTAAATACACGTGCCAGCTTGGCCATGTCCATGGCTTGCAAGGGCCGGACCATAGCTAACGGAGTCATTGCCGACACGAGTTGCAAGGACGTGAGTGACTTGGACGGGCCGCGGCCCCCGGATGCATCTCCACGCGACGCCCGCCCTCCAGAACCACGACAGTCGACAACCTGCTGGCGACGCGCGACCCGGGCCTAAACTTCCTTTCCCGCAGGCCGCCCGTGGTTCTGGCGGCGCACAAGCGGAATTCTCATTCCCGCGCGCAACTGTAGGAACAAATCCGAGAGGTTGAGCAAGCGAGCGTTGCGCAAAGTATGATGGAGCGGTGGGAACGCCCTTGTGACCTTGCGAAAATCATGTGCAATTGCTTCGCCATCGCATCGCAGCCCGTCTCCCAGCGGGCCCTCACCATCGTATACCACATCTTCGGTCCGCGATTCTCCTAGCCGACCACTCACTCTTCATACGTCGTCATTCCTCCCCTGCCCCCGCACCACTGCACCACCTTACAGGGGGTTCATTCCTAATTCGGTGTAATTGCAACTCCAGCCTGGGGCCTTGAGCGGTTCTCATTTGTAATTCGCCGGAGAAATTAGAAATATGAGCAGCGCTCACAGGTTGAACTCCATGAGACTGGGCGCACGAAGATACCTCCGTCGGCGTTTCACGCGCGGGTGATGTGATGGACAGGATGACGAGGACACCAACGCCAACGATGATAATGACCCAGCGTTGGTTGCCCGTTGCAGACAACATCACCAGAGGCAAGCCTTGACGCGCTCTCCTGAGACGCGACGTTGGTCCTGTCGGGGGGGGCGAAAATCCTGTCGGGTCGTGGCCTCGAAAGCGAGAGCGCGGTGCAATTCACGAGAGATCGTAGCCTAGAAGGTGCGGACACCTCGTAAATTACGAGGGGTAGTGGCCTCGATGGCAAGAACACCTGGTTGTTTTCAAGGGATCGTGGCTTCGATGGTACACGAGCACCCCTTGCAGCAAAATCTGATGCCACGGGTGCTCCTGGCATCAAAATCTGATGCCGCGGGCGGACCTGCCGTCAAAATCTACTGCCGCCAGGGCCGTGCCATCAAAACCTGATGCCCCCAGGGGCCCTGGCATCAAAATCTAATGCCGCCAGCGGCCCTGGCGTCAAAATCTGATGCCGCCAGCGGCCCTGCTGCTGCTGCTCCTCCGCCTCCTCCTCCTCCTCCTCCTCCTCCTCCTCCTCCTCCTCGTCCTCTTCCTCCTCCTCCTCCTCCTCCTCCTCCTCCGTAGCCATTTTGGCTCAAGGCCAAAATGGTATTCATTTCATCGCCTTCGCGGGGTAGGCTCCCACATAGTTTCGAACAGCCTTTGGCGCCACTGCACGGGCCCTGCGCCAGCCCACGCCCCTCCATATCTAAGTCCCGCGCGGCCGCGCCCGCGGGCATTCCATATTCTGCGCTGTGGCGCGTCGGGCACGCCGTGCTCTTTCTGGTGGTGCAGCAGCAGCAGGTTGCGTGCTCGCCCGCCCCGCTCCTGTACGTGAAGCAAGCTGCACCCACGACCTCACGGCGCGTTGGCATAAGGTCGGACCCGCTCAGTGGCAGCAGACTGGCATCAGTCCCATCGCAGCAGAAGACATGGGAGAGTCAAGCAGCAGTGCCTCCTCGTCCCGTGGACCTCGCCGACGTCATCAAGCTACCCGTGATCGTCGACGGGAAGACAGTGACTCCAAGAGCCGCAGCGGCCCCGACAACAGTGCTTCAGAGCGCCGCCATCGCCGACATCGAGACCGCCGCGACCATCGGGGAGACGACCGCGGGGCTGACGACAAGGATCGGGAGCCAGACCGAGCGCATCGCAGGGAGGATCGGGAAGATAGAGAGCGCGGTTCAGGTGGACGCTCATCTCGGAGATCTGGACCTTCGGCAGCACGCAAGGACACGGTTGCCGAACGAGACCCTTGGCAAGCAGCCGCGGGTTCCATGCGACATGCTGGAGCTAGTGGGGGACCTGCTCGACCTCATGAGCCGCAACACTTCCCACTTTCACCGCGAGCTGCACAACAAGTGCTACGCGACATGGAGGTCTTGCCTACATTTCCTGACGGTGAACTACCTGCAGCGGGCACGCCTGTTGGTGGACTTCCTACCCCACGAGCTGAAGATGACCCTCCTGCTCATGGTGATCTGGCTAGTCTCGAACAAAGGCTGGCGACACTGGGTAAAGAACAGATTGCATCGGCGACGGCACAGCTCACAGCGACGGCGAACGCTCTTATTGCAAAGCAGCAGCAGGCCTTCACCGCGCAGGTGGCAGAATTCTTGGCAGTCAGCAAACAAAACGCCGCTCACCTCGAAGTACATGACAAGGGCATCCATGAGCTCCAGGCCCGAGCTGACAAAGTGGAAGCAGATCAGGCCAAGATGCGACAACAGATCAGCGCCATGGAACAGACGCTGGCAATGGCGGAGGCTGCCATCCCATGCGATGTTCAGAAGCTCGCCACATGGGACCGCACTCCAGACCCCACAGTCTTCAGCATCGGCGCCCCCAAGGCGATTGCACCAGCCGCCGTCAAGGCAGCGCTCGCGGAGTGGATTCAGGCGTCGGGTGTTCCAGTGGATCAGCTTGTTCTTCACGGTGATGTACCTCAGCGACGATTTCATTTGCAAGTTCAAGGTGGAGCAACAGCGCATGGACGAGCCCTCGCTCTATCTCGTGCCCTCAAGACTTCAGCTGGCTTCCGCACCTTCAGCGGGTTCGACACTGGCGGGGTCAACACGCCCATCTATGTTAGCGGAGACAAGAGCCCCAAGCAGGTCAGACTCGAGCTTCAGACTAAGCGTTTGCAGCGCATCATTCAGGACGCCTACCACGATCACCACATCGGAGCCCAGAGAAGCAAGGGCATTGTCACCATCGATGCCGTGCCGCTCGTCATTGTCGAGGTCAAGGGCCCTGATGAACCGTCCAAGCTACGCTGGGACATGCCAATCCTCGCGCGGTTCAAGGTGGACAAACAACCTCTGGTGGCAGCATTTGGACAGGCATTCGCGAGCGTGGATACGTCTACGTGGTCTATTTAGCAGAAGGTGGTCGCCCTGGACAACATCACCGTCAATGCGCAATGGCACCATCATATCGTGGAATGCCAGGAGTCTGCTTTGCTATCGTTCAAGGCGCCGCAAAGCCAAGATGAACAAGCTTGTCTCGTTCATGCGTAAGAAAGCGGTTATCTTATTGCAGGAATGCCGTGGCACACTACCTAAATTGCAGGCGGCCCTCGCTACTTATCCATATCCTTACAAGATCTTCCACAATCACCTCTCGCAGAAGGCGGGAGGCACAGCATTCCTGGTTCCGCTGGCAGATCGTGATCAGGAGGACCCTCAGGTGCACTTTGACCATCAGATATTGGCCGAGGGAAGGGTGGCCCTTCTCACAATATACAACTCCGCTGACAACTTCACGATGAAGATCATGAACGTACACAACTTCGAGTTGGACATCGTTGCCCAGTCCAAGATTGCACACACTTGGAAGGAAATGGTCCAATGGAATATTGAGAGCCCTGTTACTAGAGCGTTTGTGGCTGCTGGAGATTTCAATGTCAAATCAGGTCCCACGCGTAGCTACACCGATCCTGTTTCTCGGACATTTTCGCCAGGAACGCTGCCTGCTGAGACAGCCCGAGGCACTCAACCTTTGCAAGCGTTCTGGGAAAGACTCTTTGCGATGGTTACGGAGATCTCCACTGACTGCCCCACGCATTACTGCAGAGATACGTCCACGGCGGCTACACTGGATAGGTTCTTCATTGCCACCCCAGCGAACTACTTGCTCGACGTAGAGGTGATCGCGGAGGTGGATATTGATGCTGCCGCTATCTCGGACTCCAGGCTCAGCGACCACACACCGATCACCCTGCATCTTAGAGATCGAACCCGCCAGAGTGAGCAGACGGGCATACCTGAGCACGTATTTCGAGATCCTCGCTATGGTGAAATTCTTGGTCAGCTTCTTGATGCTGCACAACTACATCGATTTCCAGCGGTCTATCAGTGGAGATGCATGAAGGACTTCATGTCTGAGGCGGCACGCCAAGTCCGCAATGAGTTGCAGCGCATGCCGATCTCCGCCAAGGACCCTCGTGCCAAGGGGGGGCGCCTCATCACGCTCCGAGCTATTTCGCGATGTGTCTGGCGCAACGATGTGGGCACCGCCTACAAGCTGATGGCCACCACGGCCGACGGCGCGCGCTTCCTGGCCGTCTCCAACGGCTGCGTCGAGCTCGGCGAGCGGCAAGAGTTCGGCGCCCTGATGCGTGCCATCAACTTCGACTACCAGCAGAGGGAGGCCAGGCTTGCCGAAAGCAGAGCATCCAAGGGGGAGGGAGCGGTGATTGAGGATGAGAGACGAGCGGCGCGGATGCATAAGCGACGAGCGTCGTTGTGGGCCCCCAAGGCCCGTCGTCTCGTCCTTGCGGGGATAAAGCCCGAGAGCCTTCAGCACTCTCCAGTAGCCCGGGACCCCGAAAAGATCGCCGCCGCCCTGACCTCCCACTGGAAGCCCATCTTCGGTGCGAAACTAGTCCAGGAGGAGCCCCTTCAGGAGTATCTTGACCGAGTTGCCCCGCAGCGTCCCCTTCTACCTCTTAGACTTCCTACAGAAGGTGATTTAGGACGTGCTCTCAGATGTGCTCGACGTTCGGCCCCTGGACCCGACCAGCTTTCGTACACGGCCTGGAAAGCGCGCCCAGAACAATTAGCAGTGCTACACAATCTCATGACTTATCTGTTTGGAGGTCACGCAGTCCCCATGGAGCTTAACGACAGCCTCTTCGCGTTTCTCCCTAAAGGCTCGGAGCCCGAAGATGCCCAAGGATGTGTTCGATCACCTGCAAAGGTCCGCCCTCTTAGCCTCAGGAACACGGACACTAAGATAATGGCCTCTGCTGCTAACTTTCAGATCCGTCAGGTGGCCCAACAAAGCGCCCATGAGTCCCAACAAGGCTTCATCCCAGGCCGTAACTTCCTGTCGAATATCGTCATGCTGGATGTCGAGGCCCGTAAGGCGAGCATCAACCCAGAGGCTGCCCAGGACCTTCCGATCTTCGCCGCCTACGATGTGGAGGCGGCCTTCCCGTCCCTTGGCCATCAGTGGCTGTTCGAGATCCTGAGTAGGACTGGGCTCCCGACAGGCTTCCTCCATTTCATTCGTGCCCTCTACTTCCTCCCTAGAGGCTTCGCTCGGATCCAAAATCAAATCGTCTTTTTATTTCATCTTTGCTCTGGAGTTCTCCAGGGCTGCCCCTTGTCAGGCTCGCTGTGGGCTTTGGCAATGGATCCGATCCTTAGATGCCTACATGCTGCGACTCAGCTCCCGAGGGCGA